GAGTGCCAAGTTGGTTCAGTTCATTCTACACCGTTGTTGCATCATCATCAGTCAATAAACTGCCGGTTGCAATAAATGCCTTCAACACAGACGCTAATGATTTTAAAACTTACAACAGTAATAAAGGCGTCACTCCAGACACTTTTCCAGTTGTCATGTGAATTTCATTATTTTGTACAATAAAGAACTAACCAAGTTAAACCCAGCCAAAAGCAATGGTTCGGATAACATTCCAGTTAACTTGCTGAAAAGCTAGTGTCTCCCCATGACTTACATAATAAATTTATAAATCGCCACCAATACAGTACCAGAGGGGTTCAAGGTGGCCAGTCACACGTATTTTCAAGAGAAAATCCAGCAGGTTCAATGTCAGTGAGCATAGGCCTGGTAGTGCACTCAGCGTGATGTTCAAAATTCTAGAGAAAGTTGTGTATTATCAAGTACTTAATTATCTTAATGATATTATCACCAATAGTTATCAATGAGGCTTCACGATTTCTTAATGGACACCTTAATTTATCTGATGGATTATTTGAGAACCCAAATGCAAAATAACAATCTGACAGGCAAGGTGACCTTAGATTTGCGAAAGTTATTTAATACAGTAGACTATAACATATTATTCTAGAAACTACAAACTATCAGTATAGATTCTGTAAACTGCTGTATAATTTACCTGAGTGACAAGAAATAAATTGTCAAGTTTAATAATACAGAATAAAAAACTCTGCTAATAATGGGTGGGGTTCCTCAAGTAGTGCTCGCCTGGGTCCCTTGTTATTTCTGTTATGTGAATGATATGCTCATTAGTGTTAATGTTAATGTTTTATAAAGATAACAACAGTGTTTTGTTAGTCTCAGACAAAGGCCTACAAGATATACCTAAAATACTAATCACTGAAACTGGAGTCCTGTAGTAAATACTAAATAACCAAGTATTACTAAGGGGAAACAGAAGCTATCATATTCTTCGGCACAAAAAGTAGTGAGGCTCAGGCAGCTACCACAACAACACCTTCACTGAAGTAGCTGAGTAAAACATCTGATCCTTGTATCAACACAGTTGATAGTGTAGTGTAGTGGAAAAAAAAATGCCAGGTCGAGGTTCCTCTATAGACAGACACAGTGTCTACCTACGCAGGCTCACAGACAGTGTTACAGTGTCTACCTACGCAGGTTCACAGACAGTGTTACAGTGTCTACCTACGGAGGCTCACAGACAGTGTTACAGTGTCTACCTACGGAGGCTCACAGACAGTGTTACAGTGTCTACCTACGGAGGCTCACAGACAGTGTTACAGTGTCTACCTATGGAGGCTCGCAGACAGTGTTACAGTGTCTACCTACGCAGGCTCACAGACAGTGTTACAGTGTCTACCTACGGAGGCTCGCAGACAGTGTTACAGTGTCTACCTATGGAGGCTCGCAGTGTTACAGTGTCTACCTGCGGAGGCTCGCAGTGTTACAGTGTCTACCTACGGAGGCTCGCAGACAGTGTTACAGTGTCTACCTACGGAGGCTCGCAGACAGTGTTACAGTGTCTACCTACGGAGGCTCGCAGACATTTGTTACAGTGTTTTACCTACGGAGGCTCGCAGACAGTGTTACAGTGTCTACCTACGGAGGCTCGCAGACAGTGTTACAGTGTCTACCTACGGAGGCTCGCAGCCCAGTGTTACAGTGTCTACCTACGGAGGCTCGCGACAGTTTACAGTGTTACCTACGGAGGCTCGCAGACAGTGTTACAGTGTCTACCTACGGAGGCTCGCAGACAGTGTTACAGTGTCTACCTACGGAGGCTCGCAGACAGTGTTACAGTGTCTACCTACGGAGGCTAAAGACGTGTTACAGTGTCTACTTACGGAGGCTCGCAGGACAGTGTTACAGTGTTTACTACGGAGGCTCGCAGACAGTGTTAAGTGTCTACTACGGAGGCTCGCAGACAGTGTTAAGTGTCTACCTACGGAGGCTCGCAGAAGTGTTACAGTGTTACTACGCAGCTCACAGACAGTGTTACAGTATTACAAATGGGAGGCTCGCAGACAGTGTTACAGTGTCTACCTAGGAGGCTCGCAGTGTTACAGTGTCTACCTTGGAGGCTCGCAGAACAGTTTTACAGTAGTCTACTACGGAGCTCGCAGACAGTGTACAGGTCTACCTCGGAGGCTCGCGACATGTTACAGTGCACTTACGAGCTCGCAGACAGTGTTACAATGTTACTACGGAGGCTCGCAGAAAAGTGTACAGTGTTACCTACGAGGCTCGCAGTGTTACAGTGTCTACCTACGGAGGCTCGCAGACAGCGTTACAGTGTCTACCTACGGAGGCTCGCAGTGTTACAGTGTCTACCTACGGAGGCTCGCAGTGTTACAGTGTCTACCTACGGAGGCTCACAGACAGTGTTACAGTGTCTACCTACGGAGGCTCACAGACAGCGTTACAGTGTCTACCTACGGAGGCTCGCAGTGTTACAGTGTCTACCTACGGAGGCTCGCAGTGTTACAGTGTCTACCTACGGAGGCTCGCAGGGCCCATATATCTAACTCTTAAACACTGTCATATAGATTTTTTTCTTCTGATCTTAACAAAAATAGTGAAAGACTACAGTTTATCCAGAATAAGATGGAAAGATTCCTCCTGAACCTGGGTTTAAGGGAAGATCTTAGGTCAGGATGAATTACAGTAGCTGGATATGCTAAATATTGAAAAAGGAAAGGCAGCTGAAGCCGAATCATGTTTACAAAATTGTTCACAGTGTCCTAAATACCTTGCTGGGAATTTTGCCAGAGTTAAGAAACAAAGCAAGTATGATACTAGTCAAAATTAACACAATTTTGTTGTACGTACAGTGGACTGCCGGGTCTCATATACCTGCTATAACAATACAAAGTGGAGAAGGTTGCCTCACCATGTCATTATTAATCACTTTAATAATAAAACCATAATTAAATATATTAATCGGCATTTTTTTGTATTTAATAGAGAATATATTGAACATATAAATAAGTATGGGCGCCTAGCCGAAGCTAGACGGTGTATTTCACATCCTGGAACACCAGGTTTGTGATAAGTTATTTCAGCTGACTGTGTGGTAAAGTACTGTGTACTTTGATGCAGAATGCACAGGTTCAAATCCTGTGCTGTGGACTGAGAGGTAATGTTTGTAAATAATTTCGCCCGTGTTTGAGTTCTTAAGCATTTCTTCCCAGAATTAGATAAAATAATTTACGACAAACCTAGTGCTTCGGCTAGGCGATTCTACTGATAATTGCTTATATCTTAACCTAACTACCTCCTCCTTGACTTTATAAACTTTCACCTCTCTCTCTCTCTCTCTCTCTCTCTCTCTCTCTCTCTCTCTTCTCTCTCTCTCTCTCTCTCTCTCTTACTTGTCATTCTCCTTGTACCCCATCTACCTCTTACTCTCACTCAAGCTTCAACTAAAAATCTAATCCTCTATAAACCTGCACATCCAGAAGTTACCCATCAACCTTTTATGCACCTCTACATAATCCAACAAACTACTGTCATTACGCCCTAACTTGACTCACGAAATCGTAATGACACGTTTGCAAACAAACCATACCACGGGTGGGGTTAGAACCCGCGATCAGAGAGTCATGACTGATAGCGGGTTCTATCCCCTCCCGTGGTATGGTTCATTACTCCCTATATCATATCTCATATACTTATTTATCCTTCTTTTTTAATATTTATTACCTGTTACCACACCTCTTTCTATACAAAGGTTAATCAAAGGTCCCATTATCACTTACTCTCCTGGCATCACAAACTGCGACCTCTGCCACAGTTTTTCCCACTTTAGCATTTAGGTCTCCTGTGTTTATAGTGGTTTAAGAAACCGACAACTTGAAGAATGAGACACTTTTGCAAGATTTAGGAACCTTTACTGAGGAAAAGTTTCGCCAATCAGTGGCTTCTTCAGTCCAATACAGAGAAGAACGGTGGAAGATGAGGAGGAGTTTGAGGTATCTTTCACCGTTCTTTGTAAAGGTTCCCAAATGTTGTAAAGTTGTCTCAGTCTTCAGTTTAGGTTCCTGCCATAATTACTCTCCTACTTAGTTCAAAACTCCTACAACACTCGCTTAACATCTCCCAAATTCTCTTTCTCTCTCTCTCTCTCTCTCTCACCTCTTCACTCCTCTCTTCTCCAGATGTATAAACACTTAGTATAACCTACTTTTTACATCCAACTCCTATTTTAATGCACATAATCCTTCAATTTGTACATATATATTCCCTCTTTTCTTGCCAAAATTGATCCTTCAACATTACTGTTACTCCTTCCTTAGCTCTAACACTCTCAGATACTTCTCACCTGACCCCATTTATTTTTTCCCGGGATATGAACCCGAGTCGTCTAGGCAGCTAAACTAGTTTAACGTCCTAGACTGCTACACTACTATGCCACAACACGTTAGGTGCCCAGTGGGAAAACTAGACAAGTTTCCACCTAAGGCCGGCCACATTAATGATAAAATCAGGACTAATTTCATTATCCTCCTTTTTCGATACCAATCTCACCAGCAGTACTTGAGTTAATGTGTCCACAGAAAGTGTTTTCTTTTTCTTTGGAGCATAGAACACTGTGCTTGTCCGAGATTTAAACCCGAGTCGCCTAGGCAGCCTCACGGGAAACATTAGAGTTCTGTTCCTGACACGGCCCTCCCCGTACCCTAATAGGGAAATATAGGTAACCTTTGTTGTCACAATGTACCTAACGTATAGAGTAGAGTGAGAGCAAACAGTGTGTACTCCCTCACTGGCATATAAAAGTCCGGCTAACCGGTTTCCCTGAATCACTGCCGGTGTTCCCTTTGTAATTACCATGAAGAACTGGGGTAGCAGCACACTGTGGATATATTCACGAGGAGAGAGGAGAGAGAGAGAGAGAGAGAGAGAGAGAGAGAGAGAGAGAGAGAGAGAGAGAGAGAGATAACACCAGGGTATTACTGGTAATAAATATAACACACAAGCTAAACTAAGACACATATGCAACAGCTATCATAGAATGCAGCTAAAATAGTCACAGCTCACTGTGTGCCCGACATGACTGGTGATGTTACCGGCAGATGACATGACTTCCTGGTGTTAGTTTACAGCTCCTGTCCCAGCTGGTTACAGGTGGAAGGGTAGTTAATACAGCCTCTGACACAGCAGCTGGTGGATGAGCTAGGACACAGCTGGTACAGGCGGTGGTACAGGAGGTATTACAGAAGGTGGTACAGAAGGTGGTACAGAAGGTGGTACAGGAGGTGGTACAGGAGGTGAGCATGAGAGGAAAGTTCCCAGGTGGTTGGCAAGGTCTGGTATTGATCGCTCAGCTGATGCTTGCAACACTGGGGGAAACCTCCATGACGAAATCCCACGTTCTCGACAACCTCCTCCTGGCCGTTAGTGTCTAGCGTGGCGCTCCGTCTCTGTGTACACCCGCCTCGCCGCTACACCTGACCCAGCCTGCGCTAGCTAGGTCACCATACACGGAAAACTTGGTGAGGGAGTGAGGAATGAGGTGGTGAGTGAGAAGGGCAATGCGCAGGCGCAGGTGCGGTCACCGGCGGTATATACCAGGAGGAGAGTCAGGATGAATCAGTGGGCGGTTATCGTCCGTAGTAGTGAGAAGCGTCTATAAGGCTGCCTGCTGCTGGGGCTTCCTTGCCTCGCTACTACTCCAGGGTTTCCCTCTGCCCATCTCACACTTCCGGTCATGAGCGACGTATTGCTGATCTGTAGCTCCTAGTGGTGATGAACGGCGCATCATAGCTGATCCGTAGCTCCTAGCATTGATGAACGGCGCATCATAGCTGATCCGTAACTCCTAGCAGTGATGAGCGACGCACCGTAGCTGATCCGTAGCTACCATTGGTGATGAACGACGTACCATAGCTGATCCGCAGCTTCCAATGGTGATGAGCAACACACCATAGCTGATCCGCAGCTTCTAGTGGTGATGAGCGACGCACCATAGCTGATCCGTAGTTCCTAGTGGTGATGAGCGACGCATCATGAGAGTGCACTGCTGAGCGCTATCCTGCTGTGCGTCACTACCTATCCCCGAGGTGTGTGGAATGGAACAAGAAGTCGGGTTGTGTTCCCTAGCTCACCAGTGTTACTCCATCAACGCTGAGTTACATACATGGATATTTTTATACTTGAAGGCGTTACTACGCCCAAGATGAGCACCTGTTCTCCGTGACGTCTCCTCTATACGTGATAACTAACTACTGTAATATAACCTAAGTCTCAGTGTGTCTCCCACACACACACACACACACAGGTGCTATCACAATAATCCATATTTTTGTACGACTAACATTAATTTAGTATCTTGTTAAAGGAATGAGTAGGTGTAAGCGGTAGCTTGTAAGCTACGACCATCAGGGTGAGTGTGAGTACACTTAGAGGTACCTGATTGCCGCGCGCGGGAGTCACAATGAGCATTGAGAAGGTAGCCAGTAGCCCAGCGGTGTCCAACACGGACGGCTGGTCAGACGAGGACGTGGCTCTTAGTGAAAACGAAGTGGCCGCCCTCAACGTGGCCTTAGGCGTGGGCATGAGTGTCAGTGCCAACAACAGCGAGGATGTCACCGAGAGGCACACAGTGGCAGACCTCACCTCCATAGTGCCATCCAGCGACCACTTGATGTCCGTGGTCCGCCTTCAGCCCGTCTTGGAAGCGCCGGAAGCAGTCGAGAACGGCTCCATCGGCTCTGGGGTGTCGGATGAACCCGGCCAGTCCTTCACAGACAAGGTGGCATCCTTCTATATCGGCGGAGACGAGGCTTTCTCTCCCAGGGATGACAAAATATCGAGTCCTAGACAGTCTGTGGTGGGTCCTCGCCTGGTGCCGGTGGGGGAGGAGAAAGGGGAGGTGACCGCGATGGAATTCACTCCTCCTGACGGTGGCTACGGCTGGGTGATCGCCTTCTCTGCTTGTTTCATCAACTTGTGGATTGTCGGCTTTATCAAGAGCTACGGTGTTCTCTACGTGGAGATACGTAACTCCTTCCCAGAAGCTTCAGCCTACCACACCTCCTGGCTACCGTCCTTACTCTCCACCGTAGGCCTAATTATAGGTAAGTGTCTTCACGCCTGTAAACTCAGAAAATACACGAATAACTTTTAAAAAGATGACAGGGCTGTTGTTCAGCTTTTCTATATATTGTCATGACAAACATTACTGTGGGCAGTATTCTCTATATTCCTGTAGGAAGTACTTCTTACATTCTTGCGGGCAGTACTCCCTATGGGCAGTATTCCTCCACATAACTATCGGAAGCAGTCTCTACCGTGGGCAGTACTTTAAACATTTCTATTGGCAGTACTCCCTATATTCCTATGGGCAGTACTCTGTACATCATTATGGGAAGCACTCGTCTACTTTACTATGGGAAGTACTTCCCTACATCACTATGGGAAGTACTTCTCTACATCACTATGGGAAGTACTCCTCTACATCACTATGGGAAGTAGACCTTTACATCACTATGGGAAGTACTTCTCTACATCACTATGGGAAGTACTCCTCTACATCACTATGGGAAGTACTTTTCTACATCACTATGGGAAGTACTCCTCTACATCACTATGGGAAGTACTTCTCTACATCACTATGGGAAGTACTTCTCTACATCACTATGGGAAGTACTTCTCTACATCACTATGGGAAGTACTCCTCTACATCACTATGGGAAGTACTTCTCTACATCACTATGGGAAGTACTTCTCTACATCACTATGGGAAGTACTTCTCTACATCACTATGGGAAGTACTCCTCTACATCACTATGGGAAGTACTACTCTACATCACTATGGGAAGTACTTCTCTACATCACTATGGGAAGTACTCCTCTACATCACTATGGGAAGTACTCCTCTACATCACTATGGAAAGTACTCCTCTACATCACTATGGGAAGTACTTCTCTACATCACTATGGGAAGTACTTCTCTACATCACTATGGGAAGTACTTCTCTACATCACTATGGGAAGTACTCTCTACATCACTATGGAAGTACTTCTCTACATCACTATGGGAAGTACTCCTCTACATCACTATGGGAAGTACTTCTCTACATCACTATGGGAAGTACTCCTCTACATCACTATGGGAAGTACTCCTCTACATAACTATGGGAGATATTCCTTTACATCACTATGGGAAGTAGTCCTCTACATCACTATGGGAAGTACTCCTCAACATCACTATGGGAAGTACTCCTCTACATCACTATGGGAAGTACTCCTCTACATCACTATGGGAAGTACTCCTCTACATTACTATGGAAGTACTCCTCTACATCACTATGGGAAGTACTCCTCTACATCACTATGGGAAGTACTCCTCTACATCACTATGGGAAGTACTCCTCTACATCACTATGGGAAGTACTTCTCTACATCACTATGGGAAGTACTCCTCTACATCACTATGGGAAGTACTTCTACATCACTATGGGAAGTACTCCTCTAACATCACTATGGGAAGTACTCCACTACATCACTATGGGAAGTACTCCTCTACATCACTATGGGAATTACTCCTCTACATCACTATGGGAAGTCTCCTCTACACCACTATGGGAGTACTTCTCTACATCACTATGGGAAGTACTCCTCTACACCACTATGGGAAGTACTTCTCTACATCACTATGGGAAGTACTCCTCTACATCACTATGGGAAGTACTCCTCTACATCACTATGGGAAGTACTCCTCTACATCACTATGGGAAGTACTCCTCTACATCACTATGGGAAGTACTCCTCTACATCACTATGGGAAGTACTCCTCAACATCACTATGGGAAGTACTCCTCTACATCACTATGGGAAGTACTCCTCTACATCACTATGGGAAGTACTCCTCTACATCCACTATGGGAAGTACTCCTCTACATCACTATGGGAAGTACTCCTCTACATCACTATGGGAAGTACTCCTCTACATCACTATGGGAAGTACTCCTCTACATCACTATGGGAAGTACTCCTCTACATCACTATGGGAAGTACTCTCTACATCACTATGGGAAGTACTCCTCTACATCACTATGGGATTACATCCTCTACATCACTATGGGAAGTACTCCTCTACATCACTATGGGAAGTACTCCTCTACGTCACTATGGGAAGTAGACCTTATATATAACACATACAATGCGTGTTATTCTCTGTATAAGTGAATAAGGGAGCAAACCTCTTTACGGTGGATGACCCGTAAGAGTTTAGCGCTTTACATGAGAAAGATCCTCATAGTGTTTCATCATGATGATCACTGGTCCTCACAGTGTTGCTTCATGAGGATCACAGTGTAGTGGGGGTTCGTAGGTCACAGTGTAGTGGGGGTTCGTAGGTCACAGTGTAGTGGGGGTTCGAAGTCACAGTGTAGTGGGGGTTCGTAGTCACAGTGTAGTGGGGTTCGTAGGTCACAGTGTAGTGGGGTTCGTAGGTCACAGTGTAGTGGGTTCGTAGTCACAGTGTAGTGGGGTTCGTAGGTCACAGTGTAGTGGGGTTCGTAGGTCACAGTGTAGTGGGGGTTCGTAGGCACAGTGTAGTGGGGTTCGTAGGTCACAGTGTAGTGGGGGTTCGTAGGTCACAGTGTATGGGGTTCGTAGGTCACAGTGTAGTGGGGTTCGTAGGTTCACAGTGTAGTGGGGGTTCGTAGGTCACAGTGTATGTGGGGTTCGTAGGTCACAGTGTAGTGGGGGTTCGTAGGTCACAGTGAGTGGGGTTCGTAGTCACAGTGTAGTGGGGGTTCGTAGGTCACAGTGTAGTGGGGGTTCGTAGGTCACAGTGTAGTGGGGGTTCGTAGGTCACATGTAGGTGGGGGTTCGTAGGTCACAGTGTAGTGGGGGTTCGTAGGTCACAGTGTAGTGGGGGTTCGTAGGTCACAGTGTAGTGGGGGTTCGTAGGTCACAGTGTAGTGGGGGTTCGTAGGTCACAGTGTAGTGGGGGTTCGTAGGTCACAGTGTAGTGGGGGTTCGTAGGTCACAGTGTAGTGGGGGTTCGTAGGTCACAGTGTAGTGGGGGTTCGTAGGTCACAGTGTAGTGGGGGTTCGTAGGAGATGGGATGGTTGGAGTAAAACACGCTTGTTGGATGGTAACACTTAGTATATTAGCAGAGTATGAAGGGGGAGAGCCCAAACTGCCTGTCCTATCACCTGCTTGGATTACAGGGAACTGAGACTGAGGTAGCGCATCCCACGCACTCATGTGGCATCACGTAACGTCACACAAACTAGTCACTAGGCCTAGCAAAGGGGCCGTGTATGTAAAACATATGGATGGTACTATGATACTCAGATAAGCTATACAACACATGTAGGGGATCAGCAACTATGCTGACAGCTCGGTCATGTTATGTATGTCGTCTCGACATACAATATTATGCTATAGGCTGAACAGGCAGGTGGCTCTGGGCTGATTCTATACAATAGCAAAGACACATGTAACTTAGAACTGATGGATGGTATCGTAATGGGTGTTAACATAATGAGTTTTAACGTAATGGGTGTTAACGTAATGAGTTTTGACATAATGCATTACGAATTATAAGAACAAATCATAGTATAATAAAGGATGGAATTGATCGATCGATCATGCACTCTACGATTCTGAGGAAGAATAAATATATTTTTACAAAGGTGAAAGTAATTAACAGCAAAGGCAGATCTGGCGCGCTCAGATCATTACTGCTAAATTCTCAGAATTCGGAGGTAACATGAACACAAAAAAAAAAAAATTCTGAAAACTGATCAGCTAATAACAAACACACAGTTGACAACTTCATTCATCTTGAACATCTAATTATACAGACTATGTACATATAAACCCAACTCTGCGAGGGTAAGATTTACATATGCAGAATGGTTATCGTCTTTGGGAGGATCGAATTCCTTTGCAATGGCTAACACATGTCTTGACTGAGGGAGATCTGAACAAGTATCTACAAAAGATACAGCTACATTCACTAGTGACTGTGGAATTACTAACTGGTATATTCTTCTGCTTGGAGTACCCAACTCGGCTGTTCGATACAGTAATTCTTGGCTCATTACAAAGTCACTAATGGGTGCTGGTGGCTTCACAGTCAGAATAAGATCTTCTTGGAGCAGGAATCAAATCACATCAGACCACAAGGGATCGGATTTTTCTTGCTGGAGGAATGAACGAACTCGGTGGAGTGAATGACTCTCCCCGGTTGAAAAAAGTAACGCTATAACACGCAATATGAGCAAGGGAGAACGGATCTACTATCTCTCACTGCAAGCACAGGGGAAAAGAAATGAACACGGTCAACAATACTGATATTCAATCTGAGTCACACACAGTAACACGAGGTATCAACTATAAAGAAGCTACACTTACAAACGTTAACAACATGTGAAAGTTACTCGAGAAACAACCTCTTACATTGCACGAATTACTGTCAACTAGGATGGGATCACCATCTGGAACACAAGGAACAACAACAGACACTCTAGTGAGTACATTAGCCACAGAAAGCTCTTTCTGCAACGGCTTGTGACATCAGCAAGATATGGCATAACTCGTTGCAAGTAAAGTTCTTCTCAAAGCGTCCCCTGGGAAGGAACGACTACTTGAACAAGTCGCCATCGCAGGGATAGTAGTCTCAGCACTCAGGGTTGTCTGAGGTTACTCTGAAACCCAAGGTAACTGTACACTATCCTGCGTTCACGATATTGTGGCTGGATTCCAGACAGGAGTGACAGTATTACTAGTGCCTGACCGCTCGGCTACGTTAATAAGTAATTCACGGATCTATTTTATTTATTAACACACTGGCCGATTCCCACCAAGGCAGGGTGACCCGAAAAAGAAAAACTTTCACCATCATTCACTCCATCACTGTCTTGCCAGAAGGGTGCTTTACACTACAGTTTTTAAACTGCAACATTAACACAGAGTGCAGGCACTGTACTTCCCATCTCCAGGACTCAAGTCCTGACCTGCCGGTTTCCCTGAATCCCTTCATAAATGTTACTTTGCTCACACTCCAACAGCACGTCAAGTATTAAAAACCATTTGTCTCCATTCACTCCTATCAAA